TAACATTTTGAGACTTTTGTGTAGAGCAATGATTCCCAAATTTTTTCAAACCACTGCCCCATTGGTTCCACCAACTTGACGTCCCCCAACTGCACCCCAACATCCCCTAATCCATTTTCCCTTGTGTGAGAAAGGCTTGGATATATTCTTAAAAGAACTTTTTTATAAACCTCACAGTTTGTGTCCTTACTATATATTGTTCTCCACATCTGGACACCATTAAACTCAATGTTTCTTCTTAACTACTTTAACAGAGGAAAAAAAAGGTTGTTAGTAACTCCAACCCTTGCTTGTGATTACCATTCAGTACCCTGCCTCCAATGCCCCCTGCCATTCACTTTCTACTTTTTGTTCCCTAGGTTCATTCACCAGCCACAGGGGTGAATGAACCTAGTTTGGTGTTGTGTGTGTTGTATGATGCCGATGCAAGAAAGGACTACAGGAACAAAAAGTACCTTAAACCATTCTCTACAGACACTTTATTTCATGGACAAATTCTGAAAAAATTAGTAAATACTCAGTGTATTTATTTTGCATGTTATGAGTGAGTTATCAATTATAACTTGGCCATAGTGTATTTTGTTTTATTTTCTATATGTCTGAGAATAGTTCTTGGATATGTAGTAGTTTGTGTTTGTGTGCACATTTTTGATATATTTGTTATTTTGTTGTCATTATCTTAATGTATAATAATCTGTGTTAAAAGCTTGCAATCCAATGTGATGTGCTGTATAGTCCTAGTGACATTTTCTACATGTGTCATCTGTGAGTGTTATCCTTTAAAATGTGCTTCCTATAGTTTCTTATATTTACGACCTGGTCTTGTGTGGTTATCATTAACTGAAGAGGCACCCGTAAGTCAGCCAGCAGCATGACACAGTTCTGTCAACATGATCTTTGCTGAGATCATTGGGATACCTATCATTGAGCTACTCCAAAGCTGAGAACTGTCTGATGGTATCTGTGCATATTGTGTACTGTGTTAGATCCAGATCAGTTTTGTGTAAGTTTAATGGTGTTTTGTCTACAAGAGTTACAGCTTTGTGTAATTATAATGTTTCTTGTTTTATGTAGAAACACTTTCAATGTCTGTATTTGTTTGTATTGCAGACCTCATCTTTCCTCAGGATAAAGAGTCAGCTTTTCTATGGATGACTTAGTATGGTGTTTGTCATATTTTGTTAATGTTATTTGTGCTTTCCTCTAGAATTTTTCTAGTTCTGTGTACACTCAATGTATAACTTCAAATGAATATATCCCCACAATTTTGATTGCAACTGTTGCCAGTCGAACATTGAGCTGTTTGCACAGACAGTCCACTTGAAAAAAACCCAGCTATTGCACGATGATAAAACTGACATAACTACGTGATAAGTCATGAACACCAACAAAAAAATGGAAATTTTGGTTAGAAATAAATACTTTTTCTTGCCATATATCTAATAATAGCCAGATCTCATCATCTCTCTAAATATCTTTTTTATTTCTCTGTTGATAGCCCAACATGTGTTCTGCAGTCATCTTGTTTCTTCTCACACACATGGGATTGTGGGAACTCTCTTATGACTGGATCTAGTTTCAAAAACTCTCTTGTGTCGATTGTGATTGAACTTCATTTCAGTCAAGATTGAAACAATCAAGAGAGGTTGCAACACGGCACAGTCGCCGATCTTATCACAATCTAGATTGAAATGCTCAGTGCAAATGGGATATTACTTGTAATGTGTGTTTTGTATTCAGCTGTATTGTTAGTATTGAGTTTAATCTGTATTGTATTCTTTTCTTAGTCTTTGTTTTATTTATGCATATTCTGCAAGTTTGACAGAATTTGTAGACTCCACTTTCATCCGTAGATTCAATTATGTCTCCAATTCCAAGTACAAAATCACCCTTCTTTAGGACTCTTTTCCTATATGAAGTGTTCTGCGTTTGAATACACAAGTGGCTTCCAATTTGCATTCTGTGGAATTCTAGGGTTCTACCAATAAAATTAGTTGTTACACTTTAATTAATACTTTAATATGTTTGAATATTTTATTTAAAGAAAGTTTCAAAAATTTTTAATATTCCTTAGGAAAAGTGAATCTATGCACAGACTCTGCAAGGTTGATATTTTTGTGGAAAATAAAATCCATTGAGACTAATGGAGGATGAATCAAATCTTATATTTGATTCTTTACCATTTCAATTCTTTGTATTCAAAAGCTAGAGCATTTATTCCTAAGGTATTAAATTATTAATGTATTAAATTTTAATTTTTATTTATATATTTATTGTTTCTGTTATTTAAATTTCTTATTCCCAAATTAATTCAAACATTTCATTCTATTTTGAAACCATATTCATTTAGTTAAAATTTCTGTTTTATTAATTATTTATTTTTATGTTATTTTAAGTTTCTTGTTCCTATTTTAATTCAAACATTACATTATATCTTTAAATTGCCTTCCTTTATTCAAAGATGCTGTTAATTGAAGATCAGTCAAATTGATCAAAAACATTAATTTTAATGAATACATTGATAAGATTATGTAGGTGATTTTGTGTTTTTAACCTATTGGATAGTGCATTTAAGGCCATACAAAATCAAAATGGACTTAATGAGTCTCCCTGGAAAATACCTCATTTTACGTGTATTTGGTTTGTTTTGATGTAGTGTTGTTCTCCACTTTGTTCTCCAGGAGTATTCTTCAGTTTTCTAAAAGTAAATGTTGTATGTATTTTATATAGGTGTTGTTGTTTTGTTAGTGTTGTTATTATTATTAACTGTATTAGCAAAAAAAAAAAAAATAGTAGCAGTAATCAATTAAAGGTTGAGGAATTCTTGACAATCAGAAAAGTTTCAGGATTTAAACTCAAAATTCCATGGTTTTTCTTATTTTGTAGTTATGTACTCTTGATGAAGTTATCCATATGTTACAAAAATGCTTGAATTTAAACTTTTGTACAATTTTATTTGATATATTATTACATCAATTCATTTTAATACTGGAAATGATGTCCAAAAAGTCTAGAATCAATGGAATTTACACTAAATTTGCTTTTTTCTTCATTCTTTGTCTTCTCTAATTTGCAATAAAACTCCTTTTATATGTTCTGAAGCTCTCATACTTTTTTAGTTGCTGTATCATATTTCATTGAGTTCTTTCCGGCATATTAGAATTAACAACACCCTGTACTAGGTTTAGAATTATTTAAATAATTCTATTATTTTAAATATTAAAATAATAGAATAAATAGAGTTTGTAGAATAAATAAAAATATTTTAGAATTCTAAAAAGGAGCTTTCCTTAAATTTTTACAGTGGTTATAGATTAAACTGTATACACACAGATGCACATGTTACAAACCAACTTTATATGTATAAATTATACACATATTATATTTTATAAATACAAAACTTGTTTTTAAATAAACTATAAAAATTTATTGTAAAGAAACCTTACATATTCAGATACATTGTATATAACATTTATTAGAATATAAGTTAATTATTAAATATAGTTCTGTATCTCACATTAATCTGCACCTGACTCATTTTATTGGTCAGATTTAATAATGAGAGGATTTACATTCATAGTCATATGATACTAAAAACAGCATTTGCTATATATTTCTTATTTACATACAGGAAATCCGCATTAATTCAAACTCAGATAATTTGAAATTCCGTTAGTTCATAACTGTACTACCTTTCTAAGCTGAGGATATAGAGATTTACATGTTACAGAATTTAGTTAGTTCAAAATATGGCAATTTCGAAATTCAAAGTGAAAATTCTGTTCAAACTGTAATATGCATATGTTAACTCATTCATTTAAACTAAAGTACGTCAATACTGTAAGAGAACAATAGACCATTCTAATCTGGTCAATATGGCTTTGCTTTTAAAGTAACATATTTTTGGGTGTCACCTTACCCATGGTCTACTCTTTTCCTCTTATCTCATAAAATATGGCTGAGTTTTGGGATTGCAAGATTGGGCTACAAGTAGCACATTGAGATATTTGTAGACTATGTAACTTACTGCTTTTTGGGACACTTTAAATTGATTTTCAAACTAATGAGGATTTCCCATATTACAGTTTTTCAGTTGATAAATTCTCTTAGTGAGAAAAGTTAACAAAATTAAATACTTGAATATATTTGTATTTTAAAGGAACTTTTCCTTCCCAAATTTTTGAAAGTTTATATAATAAGTCCTAGCTTTTCAAAAGTTTCCTATAAAACTAGGAAATATATTTCCTAAGTTACAGGAAATAAATTATGTTTACATAAAGTATGAAACTATGAACATCTGAAAAAAATAGGAATGTTTAGTAATTTTATCTTTAACATAAGCTTAATAAAAAAATCAATAAGAATCATCCCATGCCTTTTAAAACTTATCAGTAACATATCAGTTTGAAGAAGAAAAAGTAAAATTTAAAATAACAGAAATCATTTACATGATTAAAAGTTAGGTAATACATCCTAATGAAGCAACACATGTAAAAGATTAATTATGTTTTAATTAAGTTTTTAACTCAATATATATTTAATGTATATGCCTTTAGAAGTTAGTTTTAGATAACGTATATATATGAATGCATATACAAATTAACTAATAGGCAATATTACACATGCAGCACACCGGTCTGTATTGTCATATATAAAAGTATTGTTTTTACTGTAATTCGTTACCGATTATAAATAAAAAAATAATTAAAAACATTTGTTCATTATACAATTTTTCATACATACATTTCAAAAATATTATTTACTTAAATTTTCGTATGAAAACAAATTGCAACTCACCGGCATGTGTACACAATTCTAAACTGTAATCCATTTACGAACTGAATGAAAAAGAAAATATTTTGTAACATTAACAGAAAATTATAATTTATATTATTATTTTTAAATTTTAAAAAAATCTGATATATTGGAATTATTGTTAAAAGTTTAGATGTTTATTAATTACAATAAATTATTATTATTTTTAATTATAAATTGGAAGGTGGCGCTGTGCGTTTAAAAAGCATTCGCCAAGATGGCGAGATACTTGGCTCTCGATAAAGTAAAGAGAATGTTCGATATTCTTAAACAGAATGGTGGAATTATAGGAACTTATAAGAAGCTATACAGGTTATTAATTTAATATGCATATATTATATGGTGGTAGCTATCTTTTGTCTTCAGCACTTGTCAATCTTGCTGCAGTAGCACTACAGCAGCTAAGTAGTAATTAGCTTAACTCTCTTTTAACAAAGTGTCTACTAAGAAATGCAACCAGTGTAACTGTGTTCTTGTAATTGTATACTGTGTAATGGTTGGTTAGATTGTGTAATTATAGTATTATAAAGGTCAATCTTTACCTATGTGCACCGTGATGGCGGCGGTCGCGACTGTTCTTACTCCTGACGGACTTGAATTGATACATACTAGTTATTGATACGTGTGTTCAAGAACTACCGTGAGTCAATAACTAGTGACGTTAAACAATCGGCGACTCCTCTCCGGGAGGAGTCCGAACAGTCGGGACCACTGCTATGACGGTGCACATAGGAAAAAATTAACTGTTGTTTACTGTCTCAAGTTTACTTTTTGCCTTTTATAACGCTTATTCTGGTGTCAGAGCAGACTCTAATTAAATTTTGAGTGTATGTGAAGAATAATTAGTTTGATAGAGCATTAAGGATAAAAAAATATGTCCTAAAATGTTGAACTGTATTTAACTCTGCAATTGTTCCTCCATTACCCCTCAACAGACTTTCAAAATATTCACACCACCTATTATGCATCCCACAGCAGCCTACCATTTGCACTTTATGTACAGTGTACACCTTTTTCTGATGCCATATATATTCTTCATTTGCTTCCAGAACAGTTATCATTTTTATAAAATGTTCAGTCCATTCTTATTCATTCTATCCTTACTTTCCTTTTTATCCATGCAGCTTCTCATTTCTTTGTTCTATATCCATCCTCACTCATATTGACATTCAATCAGCCCATATATGCAGTCTCTCTCTTTCATTGCTTGCTCAACTGTCATTCCACTACATAATCTCTCTCATGGTCCACACTCATTATTTCACATCTCTTTTGCTGCTTCTATCACACAAGATTGGAAATGCTTCCAAACCTCCTCCACATCACTCAATCTTTATTCACTTCCCCCAATTTTCAGTTGCATCACTGATACCATTAAGTATGAGATCAGCCGGGTTTACGAGTAAGTAGTACTCGTGTAACACTTAATTGGCACTATTCTGTGAGAATAGTCTCAAAGGTTTCAGATCATTGGATCTGATCCTTGTCAAGATTTTGACCGGGAGGGCTGTAATATTTAGGTAAAAGGGGGATTCAAGACTGTGAGGTCCTTATCCCAAACGTCAGGGCTGACACCAGTTTATCATTTATTTTACATGCAGATAAACACGCGTGGGGGGAGATCTGATTCAGATTCAAATTAAGAGACAATTCTTTTATAAAACAACAAGAATAAATGTAATAAGTAAATAAATCTATTACAAGATATAAATGATTAGGAGATATAAATATGACTATTAAGATACACTTCGAGATAAATACGAACTATATTATAACCTATACGAGAGATATATGGCCTTATATCTAACAGATACACGATCGAGAGAGAGAGCTCACAAAATCATTAGAAACATACAACCTGTGTTAGTTGTTCTCATCTTCTTATGTATTTGATGTATTTGCCGCACTTCTTGAGTATTCTGTATTCTCTTCTCTTCTTGAGAGATCACTTAAAATGGAAATGTCTATATCTATAGAAGTAATTCCTTGTATGTCGTATGGCTCATAGGCGTTGGCATTTAAGAGGAAATATGTATGGAGTCTGGACACTTCCAGGTCTCTCGATGAACTCCCCCGAATTTTGACAAATTTCCTCTATACAAGGTCTGTTCAAAAAGTATCGGACCTTTTTTTTTTCCGCGTAAACCAATGATGCGAGAGAGGCCTCCTTCGGTGGAGTTGTGGAGGAGACAGTCATGCACAGCCCTGAATTTTTTCCCGCCTGCAGGAAGCGTCAGTCGTTGGCAATCGGCGTATGAGTGAGGTCATGTAGTGCGCTCTCGTCGGATTTCACTAAGCTGGAAAATGACTGAACAACGTGAGCAGCGATATTACATCAAATTTTGCCAAAAACCTTGGCGATACCCGAGTGTAAACCATTCGCAAGATTCAGCAGGCTTTCGGGGACGATCCTCGAGGCCAAAAAAAGCGCGGCAGGTCCGCAGCAATATCAAAGGTCATGTTGACAGTTTTTTCGACTCTCGTGGGGTGGTGTGTCGTGAGTACGCACCACAAGGCCAAACCATCGCAAAGGAGTACTACCAGGAGGTCCTTCGTCGTCTTTCCGATACAGTGCGACGCAAACGACCGGATCTGTGGTCGATCAAAACTTGGCAGCTCCATCGTGATAACGCATCCGCCCATTCTGCGCATCTGATTCGGGCTTTCGTCGCCAAACACAATACTCCTGTGGTTCGTCACGCTCCGTACTCTCTCCACATGGCTCCGTGTGACCTTTGGCTATTTCTCAAGCTGAAAATGCCGCTAAAAGGAACCCAAATTTAGTCAAGAGAAGACATCATGCAAAATGCGACGGACCGGCTGATAACCATTCCAAAAGATGCGTTCCAGCAGTGTTCCCAGCAATGGCAGGAACGCTGGGAGAAGTGTATATATTACCAAGAAGACTACTTTGAAGGGAATTAGGGTTTTGTACCTCAAAGTCAATAAATTTATTTTTGCCAACCAAAGGTCCGATACTTTTTGAACAGACCTTGTATGTCACGATCGGCGACCAATCATCATGCAAAGATTCCTCCGTGAGAACGGATGGAAAGGGGAATATGTGAGGGGTAAACATTTCCCATCAAAGCGAGAGTTTTCTCAGATAAGGGAAAACAGAGGATGTACTAACTTCTGTGAAAGGANATGTCACGATCGGCGACCAATCATCATGCAAAGATTCCTCCGTGAGAACGGATGGAAAGGGGAATATGTGAGGGGTAAACATTTCCCATCAAAGCGAGAGTTTTCTCAGATAAGGGAAAACAGAGGATGTACTAACTTCTGTGAAAGGAAGTAACATCTGTTATCTGCCTTTTCCCACGTTAAAACATTACTTTTCTCACAAAAATGAAAGAATATTTTATAACAAAATATTAACATTATTAATAAAATTACTGATTTAGACCCAGGGGCCTTTCAGATCTCACATAAGTAATGGCCAAGCCACTGTCAGTTCGTCTCAACTCTTGCATCCTCCACTACATCTCTCAATTTATATTGTATGCAATAAAATCTATTTTACTACTCTGACCTTTTGTACAGTAAAATAGTGTGCATTATGAATTTAATCATCAAATTTGCCCTATGTCAGGGATGCACAACCTTTTGTGAAGAAGAGCCAAATTAGGATTAAGTTTACTGACTGGGAGCCAGACCTCCAAGCAATTAATGCAATTGCTGAGATTTGGATGCTGGCGGCAATCTTCTTTATGTCTGATGTAATGGCAGATGTTGAAACAACCAGCAGATTTTCCAAATTCTCGTTGGTTAACCTGTTCCGTGTTTTGCACTTGTTTAAATTCATAAGCGAAAACTTGCAAGCTTGTTTGGCAGTACCTATGTATGCTTGTTCGCATACATAGGTACTGCCAAACATGCTTGCCCAAAATCGAGCATTGTCTTTCAGTTTTGGAAATGATGTATGTGGCAGTTCTTTGTAGAATGTGAGGAGATTAGAATTTTTGAACTGTGATTTCAATTCATCACTGCACTGGATGTCTATCAACTCAAGTTGGACATCTGGAGGGGCATCTTCCACTTTCACATCAAATGGAGTTGAAAAAAGTTGCAGGTAGATCTTGTATTTCTGGAATTCACCAAACCTCTCATTGAATGATGTAAGGAGGGTGTTAACTTGGTCAGAGTAATCCATCTTCATATGTGGGTATTTCTCTTTCATGGCCTTGCAATGTGGAAAGTGTGTAAAGTTCTCTGATTGCATGTGGGACTTGAAAAGTGATAGTTTGGTCATAAATGCATTGATGTTACTTGTCAACTGAGAAACAAGTTGCATCTTTCCCTGCAATCTCAAATTAAGGTCGTTTAGATAAGCAGTAATGTCAGCAAGGAAAGCTAAATCACACTGCCATCTTTGTCCCTCCAAATTCCTTGTAGTGTTCCCCCGTTCTTTGAGGAAAGTGATAATAGGCCCCAATAGCTCCACAAATCTCTTGAGGACTGTTGCCTTGCTCAGCCAACGAACTTCAGTATACGTGGGCAGGTCAGCATAATCAGCATCTATTTCTTCAAGAAATGATGTGAAGAGTCGATGGTTGAGTCCATGACGGCAGATTAAGTTCACAGTATCATAGACATCTTTCAGCAGACGTTCAAATCCCAGCTTCTTTGCACAAAGTTGCTGTTGGTGAATTATGCAATGATACTGGACTAACTCCTTTTGCCTGTCCCCAAGGTAATTTTTCAGCAAGGTGAAAAATTAAAAATAATAATTTAATTTTAAATTTACGAAAAAAAGAATGTAAAAATAAAAGTAAATAAAAAGTTCCAATTAATTTACTACTTAAATAACCTAAATATATCTGTTTTCTTTCAAACAAAAAAAACCGCAGCTTTCTAGCTACACGGAATCATTTTACAACCCTCTTTGTTGACAAGTTTATGGCTTGACGCGGTTTGTAATAATTATTAAATCCAAAATATTTTAATGCAAATGGCTTCCTTTTAGTCGTAATGACTCTATTCCAACTACAGTATTAATTTTCTTGGTCCAACTTAATAATAATAAATTTGATGTGAAAAATTTTTTTTCTATTCTTTGTCTATGGAGAGATATTGTTGTAAATTATTGGTTGTTATAGCTTTTTGTACATTTCTTTTTGAACTCTGGTTAGTTTTTTCTAGTTTGAATGACATTAGGTTGACGAATAAGCGTCTTTTCAGAAAAGATTGATTCAAATTCGACAATACCAATCAGAATCTAGAATGTAAACAAATCATAAAAAATCGTTATTTTCATAGTTTTTCAGCGCTATTTTCATTTATTTTTGTTATTTGACGCTATTTAGACGAATAAGCAAGTTTTCCGAAGCATAAAATTGAAGATTTCCCGCCAAAATAGAAACTTCCTGATAACATCGGAAATGACGTTCTAACATCATTTTATTTTATTTGATTCTTCAAAAAATCGTTATAATACTATGTATTAGACTTAGAATATTCTATATCTAAACCAGAAAGTGTTAGCTAGAAATAGACTTATTTATAGAACAACCCCCCCATTTCTCACTTCAGGAAGTTATAAAACAGTTGGGTGCTAATGACTTTGTGAAAGGGAAAAGTTCTACACTTAGAAACTTCGAAAGAAGGGATTTGGCCTGTACCGTCCGCGGGCCGCATAAACATTGATAAGGGGCCGTATGTGGCCCGCGGGCCGCAGGTTGTGCACCCCTGCCTATGTTATGGTGTTGGGAACAAACTAGCTATTACTGCTGCTTCTTGCTTTAGATAGATGCAAGCAAGAGACTTAACCTCTTGCTTGCATCTATGTTTGCAATAATAGCTGATTCTGTATATACTTGCAGATACGTGTATATACAGTATATAAGTTGGCAAATTTCGACAGTAAAGCAATGATGCTGTCACACAAAAATAATTAGCAAAAATTTAATTGCACTGCTATGAACAACATAAAGTATACATAGATCCGTGGATGATTTCAGCATATAGATATTAAAAGAAAATAAAGAAATCTATTACCCACCAAACCTTAGAAAATTATTTATAGATAACTTAATTTGCATAGGCAAATCTCTTAATATAATAAAATGTATTCAAGCTGTTATTCTTGGAGCAAGAAAACAGTTTTATATGTATTTCTGTTGGATTTTTCTTTAATATTTACATTGTACAACATTTAGTTTAACTAATAAGCAGCCTTGTCATATTGTGGTTACCTTTTTAAATATGACTAAATATTTCTGTTGTTTGAATAGAATTTTGAAGCTAGAGATGAGTTTTATAAAAAAATAAAAATTGTCTATTATCATTTTATAACACTTAATAATATAAAAAGTTTTTTGATAGACTCTCATAACAGATGGCCCCCCCACAATTTTAACTTTTTTGATTAGAAAGTTATGCAGTTCATTGCTGGAATTTTTCAGTTTTTATGATTGAAATATTCATAATTATGCATGATGACTTAATATAATGAGATATTTCTATTTTCAGAATGGACGATGCCAAAGTTGGCACTTTAGTTGGTGAAGATAAATATGGTAACAAATATTATGAAAACAAGTTATATTTTTATGGTAAATATAATATAATTTATTTTAATATTTTTTAAAATTTAAATTGTTTTACAGGGTGTTCCAAAAGTAGTAAATCCACATGATTTATTTATTACTAAATACTTTCTTTGAATTATGCAAAATTGTAGTATTTATTAGAAGCATACAGATTGGGATTAAAATAAATAAGACCTACTTGAACCTTTAACCGATGTGTGTATAAATTAATCTTTCCAAAACGAACGTTTTCATAACCCCTTCTGGGCTCTTCTTCAGGTATAGCTGGATCGAACATCAAACGAAAAAATTTGAATAATGTTCGATCCAGCTATACCTGAAGAAGAGCCCAGAAGGGGTTATGAAAACGTTCGTTTTGGAAAGATTAATTTATACACACATCGGTTAAAGGTTCAAGTAGGTCTTATTTATTTTTACACAACCCAGTGTGCAGTTGCTGTTTTATAAAGATTGGGATTATTTATGAAAAATAACATTGGGCATATGACCACTTTTCATATCTCAGTAATGGAGAATTCAAGATGCCATTATTTTCATAAATTTCTCCAAAGTTTCTTGGGAGCGATCACATTGCAATGCAAATGTTATTTTTGAGAACAGCAATTTGTTGGTTCATTCACATATGCCTTTCCTTGAGAAAGGGCATATGAATAAATGCAGAGAAAAAAATTAGGAGCTTGGAGCTTCTGTGTATCCATTCATTGCAGCAAGCATCAGTGGTGAAATCCCAAGTTTACTACCAGTTCTATAGAAATTTTGATAATTTCAGAGGTCACATGATTATTCCATTCTGTGATGACATATGATTTGGAAGCACCTCTTGAAGTAATGCCATTGTGTGCCAGACAGACAATGGCATTGCTTCAAGATTCATATTTGATCTTCAAAGTCACAGCAACAATCTGCAACACAAAACAAGGACATAATAAATAACTCTCATTTTTTATCCTTATTTCAAAAGGGTTTACCACTTTTGGGACACCTTGTCCCCCTCTGAACTTCATAAGAATTTAATCATAGTGTAAACAGAGTTTTGAAACAATTTTAATAAAAATCAGTGATGTTAATTTAATAAAATACTAATTTGTATAGCTGTTAATAATTCATTTTGAATATTTTTATGATTTCCATCAAATAAGGTTTCATCTGCTTCAAAATTATTTATTTAAATTTATCGTTATTAAAACAATTATATATGCTATTTTAATATACAGATTTCACTTGGACACACACACAACTAAAATAATTCTAAAGAAAGAAAAAAAAAAAGCGAACATTAACAAAACAACAAATGCTGTCCTAAATTTTCCACAGAAAAGTTGATACTTTTATGTGAAAAGGAAGGATGAGTCCTTACTGATATAATCTTCATAACAAAGAAATATAGACATTAAAATCACAATTAAAATGAGTAATTATTTACAATGCCAGGCTGCAATTTTTAATTAATTTAATTTAAAATAAATGCACTCCACCTCAAATTAGTAGTGTCTTCCTGTACATCCATACATACAGAAATTACCCCTGAATTTTTTTGCATTTCTTGAAGTTTCAATATGTCCTGAGCCCAAAAATGAAAAATCTGAGGAGGGTCATTTTTTGCTAGATTGCCATACTTTCCTTCTGTTGTAATCCAGAAAAGTAAAAATTTCAAATATGTTTTAAATGTTTTTTATTGCTTTATTTATAACTTCTTTACATTGATTTAGATATATAAAAATTTATTTGATGCTTACCTTTAATTTATCAATAAAGTTTGCATTTTATCTTTTTATAAATTGGTCATGGTAGTGATTTATTGTTAATTCATTACTATTAATTTCAAAATAAGTTTTACTTTTTCGAAAACTATTAATTATTTGGGAACAAACAACTCAACAGTAAACTACACACCATCAAACCACAACTAATAAAATAGACAAGAAGACAAAACAGAAAAATGAGAAAGAAGAAATAGTATTTGCCCAAATGAGAACTGAACACACAAGACCAACACAATGTAATAACAAGGGATACCCAACCAATATGCTCAACTTGCCACACCCTATTTATCCTCTGACATATATTAATAATGTGCCCTTGGTACAAAACACCAGAGAACACTAACTTCAACAACAAATATCTTCAGAAGACCAAGCTCTATGGAATAATTGATACTAGATGATAATGGACAAATTCAACCTACAATGGCATATCTGAAGGCAATAAACTTATATACAGAACTGTAGAACATACAACAGAACAATTATGATATACAGGATATATCAATACAGCAGTTACAAACTTTCAGGAGAGGTAGAGTACACCTAGATGATGGGAAATCACATAGCAATGCATGGTCGGAAATGCTTTCCTGGTGTGGTAGTGACGACACAAAACACAAGAAAAGAAGGACAAAACAGGGTGTTTATTATTCTTGTGCATGTGCAACATCATCTGATGTTTCGATTTATGTAGGGACATCTATCACATACACCAGCCAAAGATGTCCCAGCATTTTTGCTGTACTAAGAATAATAAACATATTTTCTTATCCTGTTTGTGTCCTTCCTTTTTTGTGTTTTGTGTCATCACTACCATGCCAGGAAAACATTTCCAACCATGCATTGCTATGTGATTTCCCATCATCTAGGTGTACTCTATCTCTCCTGAAAGTTTGTAGCACTGTACTGGGTCTTTTAATACACCCTGTATTAAAAGACCCAAAAGACTGGCAACATAACTGGCTAGACTTGGCATTCTTTGGCCTACCTACACTCTTGTGTCACAAAAACCCCAAATCCAATTATTGGAAATTTTTTATATTGATTATAGTTAAATTACAAATAAAAATGCAAAATATAATTGAAAAAATAGTGTTATTTAGCACAATAAAATATGAAAATGTTTAAAATGATTTTTATCTAAGTATTTTCTTCAAAATTATTTAAAATGTAATTCTTCAAATTTTGAATGAAGTGTTATTTTGTTTTCTGAATACAGTAGAGCATCATTTATCCGAAAGCTGGTCAACCAAAATGTCGGTTGACCAGCTTTCGGATAGCATCAAATTCCAGTCATCAAATTTAAATTTCTGCTAGTGCTGTGGCGCTGCAACCTTTGGCTATGTTTTGGGCTACTCCAATATTTTTTTTGTTGGTGTGTGTGTTTTAGCTTGCAGCACTGGTGCTTTTGTGTGGTGTTTTTCTGAGGACTGTGTGTCATGCTGAATCGAACATTTTTGATACTAGATTAACTTCTAAAGTATAATTTTTTTTTGTTTTTATATTTTTCAATATATTTATTTTGTTTGTACAAAATAAAGAAATAATTTTTAACGATACAATAGCCACAATTATTATAAAAATTTTTGTTAGGCTTAACATCAATGAAAATTCAACACTAAGTGACATGCAATGGAGAAAAATTTCAACATGGGATAGGTTAATATATTTTTTCGTACATAATCGGTTATCCAAACAACCCCAGTCCCCAATTGATTTGGATAAACAACGCTCTACTGTAATTGAAATCAGACAATAAAATTCTTTTTTTTAAAAAAAGATAATTTTATTGGCTTTGTTATGAGACAATATTTTATTTAAGTATTATTTCATATTAAAATTGACAATGAAATTTATGACAAAAAAATTGTGAATATGAAAATGTATACCTCTAGATGAGAGAATTATAATTTTGTATGAGTTGTACTCGTACAAAATTCTAATTTTCTCATCTAAAGATATACATTTTCTTCAATTTCTAGTCCTAAGTTTAAACTTGCATAATCATATGATAAATGCATGTCTCAATACATGAACTCCACTTTGCATTGTATGGAACTCCCCTTTATATCATAAGAATAAAAGCATTATTGTTTATAGTTGCTTTACTTTTTAAGTTAAAAAAATACTAATTAGACTGCAGTTTTAAAAAATTGTAGACTATAAATGGTACTGTCCTCCATCTGTCTGTTCTTCCTTAATCTTGAGAATGATGTTAGATGAAAGTGAAGACCAGATGTGGAAAGCTTAGGGATAGGAAAGCTCAATTAACTGTATATAAACTTCTGGTTTAGACAGGAAGTCATGTTTATTTCAATTCAAAAATTTTTTCTGAACAGTTAGATGACTGGCATGACTTCATTGTTAACAGGAAAAGTATGATGTACAGGGGCAAGATATTACTAATCTTAAGTGCATTGTGACAATGTCACAATAACAATTGCTCATAAGAATTAAAATCACATCTTATAAGTTTTAAACAGAAAATTAAACTTATCGTAGACTGCATTTCTTACTAACTAAACACAAAAATCAAACTTTTAAAAGGTATTTAAATTTAAAATTTAAAAGGTACCTTTAAAATTTTTTTCGGAGTTCGATTTTTTTCTGTTTTTTCCGTTTATTCTTGATAAAGGTCATTAAATATGACCAAAAATGGTAGAATTTAATTAATAAATATGGCTGCATATTTAAAAGGTATTTTTGAGTGTGTTTAGTTAGAAAATTAAACAAAATAACATATTAAGTAAAGAACAAATCTAGATAAAATGTCATAAAATGAAGATTTTATAAAATAAAATTAACTATTATTTTATTAATTGTTTTTACAGTTTATTAATGAATAATTTTTTATTTAATAATAATATGATATGAAAATAGCAAATTTATCTGCAGACATTTATCTTTCACACGAAAATAATTTTAGTTTACTTGTTCTTTACATTATTATTTCTTAATTTGTATGTACAGTACATAATTAAGATTAGAAATAAACTCAATTATTTTCAGGACGTAATAGATGGGTTGAATATAATGAATATATTCATATGGATTATGATGGTAGTCAAGTTCCAGCTGAATGGTAAGATTTAAGAGCATTAAAATTTTGTTTTGTGTATGTAAAAAACATTTTATAATAATTGGTAATTTAATCAAATGCTTTCTTACATAATTTTGATTTTAAAAATTTTTAAGACATTGGAAAGCTGAGATTTAGTATATTATGACAGAAATAAATTAAACCCAATAGTTATAAAGTTATGATTTCTAATTTTTAAATTTGCTTAATCAAATTACACTTTTTTCAGTAAAAAATTTATTACCTGTTCAGTACAAAAGTAAATGATTTCATTTAAAATCATGACAGTATTATAGATTCAAATTATAAATGATTCAATTTTTGACACAATCCACATTTTAGAAATGTTACTTACACATTGATAAAGTACATATTACCGAATAACAATAATTGAAGTTCAAGACTTGAAACCAGCACAAAAGAACTCAAAATATTAAGTTTATGAATGTTTCATCTGTTTGTAAATCTGTTACAGATGAAAACATTAGTAAAATTACTTTTTTGAGTTTGTACTAGTTTTGGGTGTTGATCTTCATTTACATGCATCATTCCAGTTAGAAGAATAAAAATAACTTTTTTAAAATAAATTTATAGATATTTACAAATTTTCTTTAATAATGTAATATTTACAGGCATCGTTGGTTGCATTACATGACAGATGATCCACCAACTAAAGTGCCTCCTGTACAATATAAATGGATGATAAATCATACAGAAAATTTTACTGGAACTAATAAAGCATACATGCCTTATAGCACAACAAACCCAAAAATAGAGTCTTGGAAACCACCTACTAAATAAAAATTTGTAAATAAATTATGAATTAGTAGTATTTCTTGTAATAAATAATTTTAGTTTCAATTAAATATATTCCAAAACAATAGAGAGTAGTATTTTGTTCAGTATGTAGGTGAAAATTAATAGAACTTTTTAAATATTTAGTGAGGTTTTACTGTATTATTATTAAACTAAGTCAAACTGCATTAATTTGAACCTATTTCTTGGGCACATTATGTAAGGGTTCCATACAATACAGTCTCATTAAGTCAAAATTCTCATTATTTTAACTCAAACTTATTTTTCTATATACTGTCTATCCTTTGATAAGTTTGTGATCTTCATTTTCTCTTATGAAGATACATATGAATACAGATGATTAAGATATACTAACTCCATGTCAAAGATGACACCATGCCATTTCTACCTAGGGTGATCATCATCATATTGATACAGTATGTTTCCAGCTTTCTGATTGAGAGAGAGTTTTAGATTTTTGTATGTTATCTTGAATCACTTCTATTAATTTTTTAAGTTTTTAATATAAAACTATTACTATTACTGTTCTGATTTCTCAGTTATTACTTTCTTTAGATTTTTTATTTGTAAAACGTGATTATGTCACTTATAATACAATGGGCAAATCTAATTAAAAAATATTGTAAACTAAAATATTTTTTATTTATTTTTTGATGAGACTATGTCTGTCTCTCAAATTACGCTGCTGTCAATGGCTGCACACCTTAGAGGAGTGCATGTCAGGAGTTGCAATTTGACAGAGTATTGGTGCCCAAATCATGTGCACATAAAATAAACCAGACTTGTAGGTAGTTGGGACCGACTACCTATAAGTCTGGTTTATTTTGAATGAGAACCAGGTCAAAAGAAAATACGAAATGCCGAAACTGTTTCTACAAACAGGTGTGAGTGCGAGATTTGCTCATGCATTGCTTGCACTTTCCGAGACACAGTCTCATCCCAAAAATCGCTTTGCTGTTTTACTTGTTTTTGTGCTAATTTGAAATCGTGTTGTCATACATTTTTGCTTCTCAAGCACTATAAAATGCAATTAATCAAACACTAAACATCCTTTTATCCTTTTATTTATTCTTTAAGTTGATACACATTTTTTGCACATATTTTTGGTTAAAATAACCAAAAATAATATATCACAAAAAAAAAATAAAAGTGCTATTTATTTCTCAATATCAACTCCATGTCTATTTTTAGTAAAAATAAAAATGAAATTATATCAGTTTTATGTGCTAGAATAAATTATAAAATTCTAGCAGAATTCATATTCCTGAAAAATTAGGTTGCTGAAACAATTGTCAAAATCTAGCACAAAGTAAAATTCCAGAGAACAATTATATCACAACAAATCTTTAAATTCTAATACAGTTACAAGGAAGTACCTTGACAATGCACTCAAAAGTGCCATAAACTGTACAGTTTTTAATCATTTTGTAAATAGATTCTTCAAAAATGGCTTAATAATGGGAAATTTACAGCAAAAGAAAGATTTGAGAAAATTTCTGTATTAAAGTTATCAACTCAGAATTCTAACTTCATGTCAATTTTTTTTATCCCTTAAACTTTGACTTAACAAGGTTTCAATTTAATAGTTTTGTGTTTCACAATTTTAGTTTAATCATTATTTCAATTGCCATTAGAAACATTTTAAAATTATTGTTTTTTAAGTGATCCAAAAATAATTACAGTAAAAGCTCAGAATTATAGATTGCGGTATAATGGATCTTGCTTTTTAGAATTACAGAATTTTTATTGCCTAAAATTTTATCCAATAAAGGCACTAGACTGAAAGATTTATGTGAAATTTAAATGGTTTTGCATTATTTTTGTACTAACTTGAAGTAACTGAAAAACACCATTGTCCATGCCTCCCAGTTGACATTTTCCAACTGCTTATTTTTCAATGTATAACCTTTATTACAATCAAACAAATGTATTAGTTATTTATTCAAATGTTTGAATGATATGCTAAGTTGTGACAAAATAATTATTTTTGTCATAAAGTTTTTCCTGAAATTATGCAATGGAAGGAATCATTGGCCCACATTAAAAATATTTCTACAATTGAAGAAATGCTTGTTTAATCTAATGAAGTTGTTTATCTTGAAATGAATCTGTGATATAAGGACATATATCCTAAAAATATGCACAAATTTCAAAGTTTAAAATTTATTATTTATTTTAAAACAAATTTTTTTTTGTGTTCATATATGTTGTTTAATTAATGATCAGATGAGATCATCAGGCCTGCAATAGGCAGGAATTCCAACTTTTACTTCTTAATCATTCTATTAACATTCTGAAGTTGTCAGCTTTGAAATGGAGAAGTTTGATCTTGATCCTCTCCTGCAACTCCTCTGCAGACCCAGCTTCCAACCATTTTCATAAACATTTTGCTTTAGTTGGTGTCCCTATACCCTTCCTCACAATAAAAACAATCACTTTATAAAAATGTATCAGTGAGTACAAATGAAATACAAATATATTAATTATAAGTTTATTGAAAAAATCAGGAGTTACAAAAAATTGTATAAAAAGACAATAAACAAGAGAAGTGTACCAAAACATCAAAAATAATTTGGAAGAAAATAAAGTAATTTATATTGTTTGTTAAGAAAATCATTTGCCAATTGTACCTTATATAGTTTTATGTAACTTAACAGATAAACTTGCTATATTTTATTTGGCAAGAAAATCACTTTGATATTTGTACTTTGGTACTTTGTATAGATATCCTATAAATAATAAACAAACTTACAAAAATATAAAATAATAACACATTACAAACATTATTTGGTAAAGAAATAGGTAAATAAATATTTAAACAGAAAGAAAACTCAGTTTGTGAATTGAACTTTTCTATCTTTCATTAATGAAAATTCTCGAATAATATACATACAATTTCTTTATTAGGTACCAGAATTGAGTACATACCTAGTTTTACTGCGAGGCACAACTAGGTGATGGGTACAAATACACAATATGAAATATGATAGATATTGTAGACAAGCAATTGATTACAATATAGGTTATGAAATAGAAGAGTCGCAACAGTATTAATGGGATACATTTACATTATTCAAGAAGGTTGCACGTCACTCTATTGATATAATGGCAAGATTTTGAAAGTCTGTCTTGTAACATTGTGGAGCGCAAGTAATTTTTAATAATTTTAAGTTAGAAAAGGACCGTCCCGCAGATGATACCAGTAATGATAAAAGAATCTGTAGAGCAATTGTAAAGTTTGGGTAAACTGGGATTAAATCATTTGAATAAATATGCTGGGAATAAATCATTTGAATAAATATATCATTTGAATAAATATACTGAATTGTCATTTTAAAATTAGAAATAAATGGTTGACAGTGTAAAATTTCTTGGCATAAATCATATGCATCAATTTCTGAATGATTTTCATGTGTTAATTTTTGTTGTAACTTTTTACATGATAAGTACTTAACAAAATAAAGAATATTTAACAAATACAAAAACTGAAATGGATTCATTGGTTTTTTTAATAAGTAAATCTTTCCTGCAAAAATTCTGCTGTTTGATCTATTATGCAGAGGAAAAAAATTTTACTTTAAATGAAATTTCAGCATCATCTACATTTTCATGTTCATAATCAAATCTTGTAGTTTTTTTCACATTGCCTTAGTGATCTACTACTACAAAATATAGATTCTGAGTCAAATTTTGCTGCAATAAATTTTGAGCTTTCTACAATAGGCAGGGTTATTTCTGTGTACAGGCATTGATGCTATTAAATAGTCAGAGGTGGAGATTGATGGGTTGTGTCATATCTCGAATGGAGTAATATGTAATGAAAATTTTGTTATTTGCATTTACAACTTTTTAAAAAACACTCTACTTCTCAAAATAAGTCTTTTGCCATTTTATAATAATTTGTTTGTTTGTTGTTTAAGTTATGGCAATGCAGCACTTGGGCGATCTGCCTAAGGGGATGCCTTTCAGGAGGTCTTTGCAAGAGTAACTGGCCCCTATTTCAGCGTTACAGACGTGGAGAAAACCTGGGGCCATATTCTATCACTGTCTCTCGTCTCTCGCAAGCCGGTCGCTGATTGGCTAATCCAAATGATTAGCCAATCAGCGACCGGCTTACGAGAGACCAGAGACAGTGACCAGAATACGGCCCCAGGTTAACTGGGGGGCCTGCCCACCCATGCCCCTTCCTGGCTATGCCCATGTGCACCACCTCAAAATCTTCCTACGGCAGCCTCTGGTTCGGCCCGTGAAAAAAGTTTTCTTTCCAATTCGGCCCGGGGGCAAAAACTGTTGGCCACCCCTGGTCTAGGGTCCATTCGTATCGTTTATTCGATAAGCCAGTAAAAACCGTAGAACTTCTCTAAATGCATTTTTAATATCACAATTACATTCCGAATCGCTAGCCACGATATAAGGGCTACAATTAAAAATGAAATAATAATAACTTACTTGGTGAAATAAAATGTGTGGTGGATGTATCGGTACTGTGCATACCTGGTACAAAATATTCTTCAATTGTATGAATATACTTTTAAAGAAAATTATAATTAAATATAGCTTTGTAAAGAAACGTACATAAAAATAACATAAAATATTCTTTACTTTTTAAATCTTAAAACAATGCATTTAGTCAAATAGCTCCCTATGTTGCAGAGCGTGCATACACGCGGACTGCCAAATCCCCATGGTGCCGATACCGGTCAATGTCAAATACCTCTTTTGTCTCATCACTAGTATATCTGAAAGGACGCGACAGGGCTGTTGTAGATTTTAAACGTTTCTCACCATATCTGTAAAAATCTAAATATGTTAGAAAACAAATGACAATTAAGTTTAACATATTTAGGTTTTTACTAATTCGTTTTAGGACCAAGTGTCCTCAGAAATTTCCAAAATTTACAACTTTTCGGTCACTCTCATTGAACTGGAAAAATTTCTGTCTTTATTACATTAATAATACGAAGAAATCAGTCTCTACTGTACTTGGCTAGAGATGGTTCGGTTAAGTTTTTGTTTAAGTAAAATTTCGGCTGTTTCATCAGGGTTTTGTTTATGTGCCCAATTCCC